CTTCTTCTCAGACGGCTTCTCCTCCGGACCACGGAGCGGTGCCTCATCTCGTGGAGGCGATATACTTTACAATGTGAGCAATTCTTGGTCATGACATACAAAGTTGCGCCTTCTTCAGTCATTGCTTTCTGTTGCCCGCTAAAAAGATGTTGCACTTCAAAATTTTACCTCTACTAAAAGAATTTACATAATCATATGTAAAACGAGGTTCTTCAAAATTGGCTGTTATGTTTCGAAAGAAAAAAAACGCGATGATGCGATAATAAAATTCTTCGTTACTTTAGAAACAAGGCTAAAGGACCAGTTTTTAGGAGGTTATCAACGCGCGTCGCAAGGACATGAAGTAGTGACAGTGACGATGACATTGTAGGCGTAGCGCCTAAAGCTTAACGGCCTAATTCGGGCTATTTATATATTCATATGCTCATATTTCTACGGAAATAATTGTTGTTGTGAATCCGCTGTGCGGTGACTAGTAATGTCATGTGATTGGAAAACAAAACTCATGGTTCATATTTCCATATCTACAGTTACTTTAGAGTCAGCGAGCAACGATTGGTGTAACGGGTTGCATGTCAGGGCGAAGGAGCGTGTTAAAGACGTAGTCAGTGGGTAACGGCCTGAGGAACTTTAAACCTGTCCTCAGACGAAGGAGTGGAGAAAACTCCCACTGCGAGTACACGATCATCGCGAACTCACGACTATGCTTACTGAGGTTACACGTGAAATGAGCTTCTATGCACAGAGGAACATCACGCATCATCGATGCAGGAGTTCGACTGCTGCAAGCCTGGAAATCGAAGCGCCAGCGAGATGATGACGCAGTGACAGCAAACCATCGTAAATAGTTCAAAGTGCACTCGTGGCCCCTGCTGCCTCTTAGTTTTGAAAAATGTTCAGTTGCAAGTTCAAGACTGAGATCAATATAATCTCTTTAGAACTCGTAGACCAGTGTTTCTAATTCAGTGGTGTGCTAGTATATATATGAGCGGTTCCCAAAATGGAAAACATTTCAAATCTTTTCCATGCTCTGTTCCTGACACTTAACAAGAGCATATTCAGTAGCAAGGATGGCTGAATTCTTCTGCCAGTTTCTTAGTCAAGTGAACTGTACCAAAGAATCAACAATGGCCCATTTCACACTTGAAACAAAAATATATATTCTTATGGACTGCTGCAACTAGAAGCCTAGTTTTGAAGGACTGGAGAACGCTATCATTCATTGCAGTTATGCTTTGTTTAGCAACTCTGAACCGACCCGACTCATGAGATAAACCGGTAGACGGAACTGGTAACTTCTGGGTGAATTCACGATGGTGTCCTTGAGTGTAGGACACCGAGAATGGTTGTTCCAAAGTTTTCCATCAAGTGGTGAAGTCTTGAAACACAGGACTAGATTGTGATCGCTGTCTGCCATCAGGGTAAACGCGACGTGACTTTCAGCGTACGACAACGATGACGTCCTCCAAATACATGGCATGTCTACTGAAGAATGACCTCATGACGCGTGACTCAACCGTGGCACGTGTTGCACAGTGCGACGTGTTTGTTTTACTACCGTCGACCGTCTTCGTCGCTTCGTTAATTTATCATTCGGTCGATTGCAGGGGACTGACGATTCAGTTTTTAGATTGGTGGCGGCCGATGCAACGCTCGGTCTGGTGCTGTCACCCGTTGCGGTAGAAAGCGACGATTGGAACAGCAGACAACCGCCTCTTCGACCACCCCCGAAACTGATGGGCAAGTGCGGGTTCGGCGTCAGAGGGGTGTCTAAGACGGATAAGACACGGGGCTTCGTCAAGTCAGTTTGAGTCCACGACTCGTTGTATTTTCTAGCTTTATGACAG